ATATAACATTTTATCATATTACTAACCAATTATTTTTTACCCATTAAACTACATTCCGACTAATTGTGTGTACCCACTTTTATACCTTGATTGCACACAATTATAATGACATACTGTTAAACTACATAGTCGCACTCGCTAACTTTTGGCCATCTATTCTTACTTCTTACATTAAACATACAACGTATTTTGTAATTTTCTTTCTTTCTGTATTAGTAAAGTCTTTATTATTAGCTTAATAACGGCACCGTCCGTTTCACCAAAAAACCCGAAATGTTTTACACATTTCATCATTTACCGGGAGTAACATATTACATGAATATAGAAAACAAAAGTTACATTAAATAAACAGGAATTTGGTTGATACATGAAAAATCTGAAATTTTAAGTAGTTTGGAGGATTCTGATGAGTACACAGAAGTACATAAAATTAGCAGACAGCCTTGAGAATAATTATACAACCAAATATTTATAGGAACCTCAATCAATAGAAACCAAGTTTTTATAGGACATTTATAGTAGGCGCCTACATATACCAGGAACTGGACCTAAATATATGTACAGGAACTTGTTTTCTTGTTTTTTTTTTTTACAAGTAAACTTGTATTGAAGGTTATTTTACTACATATTTAAACCTGTATCATTATATTATGATATCATACATTTATATCATAACATATTTTATGAATATATAAATATCTATATATGTGTATCGCACTGCACTATAATAATTATAGTACTATTGTGTCCGTTTGCTTTATCTAATATTTAAAGGTGTTTAATTTATATTTGAAATAAATTAATAAGCTATGGAAAGTATGTGTGTCTGGGAAATAAGAGAGGGTTTACATTTACTACTTATTGGAACACTCAATATTTAGCCTCAGTTAAACACAATAATCATACTAAGAGCCACATTATTTTTTTTATGGTGTATTAGTTCTGTTGAATCATGTATAGTTCGTTATAACGAAATCCAGGCTCAGTTTTATCTACATTTCTATAGGATGGATTGGGAAGCTCTATGTGCGTTTGTACAGGGGCATGGCATTTAGGCTGTACTCACCTGCGTCCGTTTGCGGTCACCATCCTGGGTGTAGCGGAGCTGGGTTTAGGAATTGTATTACTGGGATAGCACAGCTAGGACAGTTGTCAACAGTGACCT